TCCCTGGCAAGTGCAAGGGCCTGAGTTCAATCCCTGGTTCCACAAAAATAATAATAATAAAATAAAATAAAATAATAATAATATAAATATCTCCAAAGAGATATATAAATGGCTAATAAATACATGAAAAGATCAACATCATTAGCTACCATGAAAGAATAAATTAAAACAACATTTTACTTCATACATATAGAGATGGCCAAATTTAAAAAAAATAAGGAGGGGACCAGGGAGATGGCTCAGTAGAATAAGTGCTTGCCTGGCAAGTGCAAGGGTCTGAGTTCAATCCCCGGTTCCACCAAAAAAAAAAAAAAAAACTTAAACATAGAACTGAAGAATTGGATCCTGTTTCATCAAGATGGTGCTGCTGGAGAGTGAGCAGTTCCTGACTGAGCTGACCAGGCTCTTCCAGAAGTGCCAGATGTCTGGCAGCGTGTTCATCACCCTGAAGAAATATGATGGTCAAACCAGATCCATCCCAAAGAAGGGCTCTGTGGAGGGCTTTGAGCCTGCAGATAACAAATGTCTGTGGAGAGCGATGGATGGGAAAAGGAAGATCAGCACTGTGGTGAGCTCTACAGAAGTGAGTAAGTTTCAGATGGCCTATTCAAACCTGCTGGGGGCTGACATGGATGGGCTGAAGAAGAGAGACAAGAAGAACAAGAGTAAGAAGGCCAAAACACCACAGTGAAGGGCTCTGGGTTCTCTGCTCTTACCAGTTAACCAACAGATTGATGTTTTTCCTTTTGGCCATAAAGCTAGATTTTTGGCTTCCCTGTGGCAACAATTTTCATGTGAGATGAGGGTCATTTTGGAGAGAAAAAGGATATAGTGTACAGGGTAGTTGAGTCTGTACTCATTCAGATCTGTGCTGCATGGTTGTGTTCTTAATTTTCAAAGGCCTCTGTAACTAGTTCCCTGAAGAGCAATGTATCATTAAATATTTGTTTCCCTCCCCCCAAAAAAACCTTAAACATAGTACTATTGTGTACCTCAGCAATTTCATTCCTCACTTTTTTTTTATATCCAAGCAAACGAAAACAGATGTTTCACCAAAACAAAAACCTTTAATTAAATTTTTAAAATTTATTTTTAAAGAATAAAAAATAAGAGACATAAAGAAAAAAACAGTGTTACAAATGATAAAAGATTTCACAAAACAAAGTAATAGGAATTCAACAGTGGCTGCTATATTTTACATGATGCTATCTTCAAATTAGTTGTTCACATTACCAGATATAAATGTGTATGATAAAACAGCATTTAAAAAGTAGAAAGTCCCAAAATTTCCACCAGTTGGTGAATGGCAAATGAAATATAGCATTTATATAATAGAATATTATTTGGCCATATAATATAATGAAGTGTGTGCATACACATTCTACAACATGGATGAACATTGAAAAGACTACACTGAATAAGACAGTCACAAAAGACAAAAAGACTCTGTATAATTGCATTGAAGTGAAATATCTAGAATAAATAAATGTGTTGATTTATGACAATAGTAACGTAGTGGGTGCATAGGCTATGGACTGTGATGACGGGTAATGGCTGCACAGTCAGGTTTCTTTCTGGAATGATTGAAATATTCTAATATGTGTGGTAGTGATGATTAACTAATTGTAAATGTAGCAAAAACTAATGGATTATACACAAAATTAGAGAGCTGCATGACATGTGAATTAAATCTCAAAGCCATTAACAAAAATGTGTGCTCTTTTTTCCTCAGGACCAGGGATCAAACTCAGGCCCTTGTGCTTGCCAGCCAGGCTCTTATGCCGCTGAGCTAGCTCCCTGGCCCAAGGGGCTTATATTTTTATTTAAAAGGGCATAACAATGCATATTCCACATTATTGATTAGTGACAGAATCTTTTAGGAATTTTATATATGTAATTATTACCAATATTGTCATCCTATACATGTATAGTATTTAATTTACATAACACCTCCAAGTACACTCTTCTATTTGGATTCAAAATGTAAAATAAAATATCTGATAATCCATATATTAACAAGAAAACCTACAAAAAATAAGTGCGATGAGCTACTAAAATCAGCATGAAGTGGTAAATCTGTTTTAGGAACTTAGAAATTCTAAAGGGAAAAAGATTTATTTTTGTGCTACCTTATTAGCTCTCTCTCTCCCATTATATTTCATTGTTTAATGGTATGAAGACTTCTTGGCTTTCTTTCCTTCATTCCTTCCATCCACAAATATTTATTAACTGCCTAATATCTGCTGAAGGTGCTATACTAGGTAGAGAGATAAAACACTAAATAAATATAACTGCCTACATGTTTGAAGAGGAGATACATATTACATAGGACTTGATCATTGTCTCTTCTCCGGTGTCATTTTGCCCTTAGTAAGTCAAATTAAAATTTAGGGCTGGTGAGATAGCTCAGTGGACTAAGCACCTGCTTAGTCGAGCACAAGGACAGGGGTTTGATCCCTGACACAACATGCCGTGCTAGCCCTGCCCCCCGGCTGCACTGAACCAGCCACCAAGTCCGGGTACGGGGGTGCACGCTTGTAATCCCAACACTGGGGAGGCTGAAAATAGGAGGATCACTATGAGTCTGAGCTGCATAGAAAGACTCTGTACCAAATACATTAAAAAAATAAAAAATGAAACAAAATTTTAAATTGACTCTTCCTTTTCTAACAATAAATTAAAATACACATCAGGATAGTAATGACGGCTTGTCCTTTGTACTGTATGGAGACCAGTTTTCTATCTACCACTCCCTTCCTCCCCTTCTCCTCCCCTCCTCCCTTCCTTCTTTTCCCTCCCGTCTCCTCCTCTACTTTCCCATTCCTTTCCCTTCCTTTCTCTTCCTTGTACTTTATAATTCAGTCTTAGTACATTTGAACACTCAACCATTATCACAGCTCACTTTTCAAGTATTCTCATCACCTTCAAAAGACTCATTGTGCCCGTTTGCTGCCAATTAGTTACCATCTCCCATCCCAGGAGACACTGATTTGCTTTCTGTCTTTATAGGTTTGTCTCTTATGTGCATCTCATATAAATAAAACCATGCAATATGTATCTTTTGCATGTGACTTTTTACATAGTAGTATATAATATTTTGAGGTTTATAAATACCATAAGAATATATAAATAGTTCATTCCTTTTTATTGCCTAATCGTATTCCAGCATATGGATCGAACATAATTTACTCTTCATTCACCAGTGGGTAAGCATTTGGAACGTTTCTACTTTGGGCTGTGTTATATAGTGCTGCTATAAGTATTCAAATACAAGTTTTATGTAAATATGAAGCTTCATTTCTCTCAGGAACATACTCAAAAATGGTGGAGTTTCTAGATCTTACAGTAAATTTATTTTTTTAAGAAGATGCTAAACTATTTTCCAAAGTACTTGTATAAAATTTCCAAGTTTCATTTTACATTTTCATCACCAATGTATGAGAGCTCTGATTTTCATCTTTGGTAAAGTTGGTTATTATCTTTTTCCTTATAGTTATTCAAATAAATAATTGCCTTAGAGTCACAATATGGCTTTAATTTGCCCTTCCCTAGTGACTAAATGCATTGAATTTCTTTTCATGTGCTTACCATTTATACATTTTTATACTTTTTTTTTCCAAAGTTTTATTGACAAACAGATAGCAATGAGACAGTTTCAAATCATATCAGAAGGACAGTTTCAACAAATAATACACTGCATATATTCTTCTTAGTGATTAATTGCTGTACAAGATGCGGACTTGTGATCCTATTTACAAACACCATTAGAACAAATCATTCTATTCATTAAGAGAATGCAACTATATATATCTATCCCAACCTCTTTGAATACACAGATACAAAATGGACATTCATCGGTATACCCCATTTTTTCTAAGTTCCGTTATTGAATATTATAGGTGTGTAAACTCAGCAAAATATTCTAAAAGAGTCCAGTAGCCTATAATAGCATTGGGTCTTATATTTAACTGGCAATGTCAGAAATTATTGATGGATCATTCATCCTATTATTGAGTTGTAAGAATTCTTTATATATTTTGGACACAAGGCTTTAAAAATCAAATATTTGACTTGCAAATAGTTTTATTTTCCAAATAAATAGAAGAAGCAACATTTTATTTAGGAAAATCAGAGTTAATATTTATATACCTATTATGTTCACAAATTTTTTAATTCAGAATTTCATTTAACAAAGTAATAAGAATTTCATAGTACATGTTGTCAAATATAGTTTTGTCTTCCAATCAGTTATTTTTTTCATAATTTTATTGATAAATAGATAGCAATGAGACAGTTTCAAATCAAATCGGTAGGACAGTTTCAATAACTAACACACTGCATATATTCTTCTTAGTGGTTAATTGCTGTACAAAATGCGGACTTGATGCAAATAGTTTTGCCCATCTATAATTTATTTTCTTAATAGGATCTTTTGAAGTACAAATGTTTTGAACTTTGATAAAGTTTAATTTGTCAAAATTTTATAATTTTATGAAGTATGCTTTTAGATCATATCTTTGCCTAACTCAGAATTATAAAGAATTTCCCCCATATTTTCTTTTTAGAGTTTTTATAGTTTTAGCTCTTTGGGTATGAAACCATTAGAAGTAAATTTCTGTATATGAAGTAAGGCTCTAAATTTATTTATGTACATGGATATCAACTCTCCCAGCACTGTTTATTTAAAAAACTATCCTCTCCGTAGTTGAGTTATCTTGGCACCTTTATTAAAAATAAATTGAGTACAAATGGCTCTACTTTTAGATTTATAATTCTGTTCCACTGATCTGGATGTCATTTTCTTGCTAGGGCTACATTTTTTTGTTTGTTTCTTTTCTTTTAATAATAACGTATGTGAATGTTGAAATTTGGATGTTTAAATACACTAACTTTATTTTCAAAATTATTTTGGCTATCCTTGGCTTTGTATTTTCATGTATTAGCTTTTGATTTCTGCAGTAAAGCCTGGTCAAATTTTAATAGAGATAACACTGAATCTATAGATCCATTTGGGAAGATTGCTGTCCTAACAATATTGAATATCCCTGCTTATAAGCCTAGATTATTACTTTAGTTTTTAATTTCTCTAAGCAGTGTCTTATAGTTTGCAGCATATATACTTTTCATTTACTTTAAGTTTATTCTGAAATATTTTTGTTTATGATTTTGTGAATGGAATTATTTTCTAAATGTCATTTTTTGATTATATGCTGATAGTATTTCAAAATATTATTGATTTCATAAATTGAGCTTGTATCCTCAGACCTGGCATAACTTTTAATGTTTTGTTTTCCCTCATATTTTTTGAATTTTCTTTATACAGGAACATGTTACTGGAAAATAATGATATTTTATTTCTCCCTTGCATTTAGAATGCTTTGATATTCTTTTCCTTTCTTGACTGCACTGGCTAAACATTTAATAGATTTGACTGTACATGGAAAAAAATACATACTTCCCTTGTGTGTTACCTTATAAGAAAAACACTCAGTAATTCCATCACTGAGGATGGTGTTAGCTGACATTTTCTTGGGTATCACTCATAGCTTCAGATGCTTTCTGAAATTTTCTCTTTTATTCATAGCTTGTAAAAAGTATTTATTAGAAATGGAATTGACTTTCGTCAAAATTTTGTTTTATCCATTGAGGTAATAATAAGGTTTTGGTCTTTTATTGTTTTGATAAGATATATCACATTCATTTGACCTTGATATTAAATCAGCATGACATTCCTGGCATAAATCCTGTTTTACTGTATATTTGTATCTTCTTATATGTTTTTATATGTTGCTGGGCTTTTTTGTAAATATCTTGTTGTAGCTTTTCGCAGTATATTCATATGGGTTATTCATATGTAGTTGCTTCATGAAGTCTATCTGGCTTTGGTATCAGGAAATACTGGCCTCAAGTCCAGTTGGGAAATACACATTTTCTGGGGAAAACAATTGTGAGAGACTAGTTTTTATTCTTTAATATATTTGATAGTATTTATCAATTACTCCATTTGGATTTGGGTTTTCTTTTCTTATTATGTTTATTTAGGTTTTCTGTTTTTTTTTTTAGAGTCAGTTCTTACAATTTGTGTTTTTCTTGAAAATTTCTTGTTTTATCTAAGTTGTCTGAATTAGTGGTTTTGTCTAACTTAAAAATTGTTTATAATAGTCCCTTACCAATTGAATTAATATGAGATTATTCATGATGTTCTTGCATTCAGTCCTGATTTTGGAGTTTGTGATAATTTTGCTAAAAATGTGTCAATTATGTTGATCTTTTCAAAGAACCAATTTCTTTCACTGACAATTTTTCATTTTTAAATATTATTGATTTTTGGTTTTTATTATTTTATTCCTCTTGCCATGCCTTTAGTTGTTGTTGTTGGGGGTTTTTGTTTGTTTTGTTTTCATTTCTTAAGATAGAACCTTTGGGGGCCAGGGAGATGACTCAGTAGAATAAGTGCTTCCCTGTCAAGCTCAAGGGCCTGAGTATAATCCCCGGTTCCAAAAAAAACAGACAAAACCTTTGGTCATTGGTTTTAGTTTTCTCTTCAATATTAGAGTCTAGGGCTATACAATTTCCCAAATGATTGCTTATACTATATTCCATATGTTCTTTTACATTATATTCTTATTTTACTTGATTTTCAATATTTTCTGGTTTGCTTGTGATTTACTTTTTGACCTACAGATTAGCTTCTAAAGTACTTGTAGATTTCTGAAATGTTGTTGCCAGTTTAACTCTGAATTCTAGCTTAATTTAGAATTGTGGTAAGGGTGAATATAGTGCATGATTTTAATTTTAAATAAAATTTATGACTTTTTTGGGTTTAGTATATGATATATGCTGAAGAATATTCTGCATGCACTGGACAAGTACATATATCTTGCTGGGTAAAGTGTTCTATGAATTAATCAGGTCAAGTTAGTTGATGGTGTTACTCGTTTGCTATATCACTGCTATTTATCTGTCCAGTTTTATCAGTTATTGAGAAAGTGGTATTAGTGTACATTATTGTTGGATTTTCTATTACTTCCTCCACTTTTATCAAGTTTGTTTTATGTATTTTGGTGGTAGTTTTAGTTCAATATATATTATATCTAGTTCAATATATATTTAGTTCAATATATATAGATATATATTATCTTCCTGATAATTGATATCATTATGAAATACCCTTTTACCATTCATTGTAAAATGGTCTTTCTGTCTGAATAACATTTTTCCTAGAAGTCTATTTTGTCAGATATGACTATTATTATTCCAGCTCTATGGTTATTGTTTTCATAGTACATCTTCTTTTCATCCTTTTACTTTTGCTCTATTTTTATATTTGAATATAAAATGTGTTACTTTATTGAAATGTGCTTTATTCAGTTTGAAGATTTCTAGTAATTGCACGATTTAATCACTTTCCATTTGATATAATAGTTTATATGATTGAATTTATATGTACTATCTTGCTATCTCTTCTCCATTTATGTCTTTTTTATTCTTCTCTTTCTGAAATATTGTCTACTATTGTGTACCATTTTCACCTTTTGTCACTTTTAGTACTTCTTTATTCCATATATCTAAATTCATCACAACCTACTTTAGAGTAATTCTTAATTAGTCCCACTTTAATATAGAAATTCCTCCAAAATTTTCCCATTTAACCCATCCTTGGTGCCATAATTATTGTAAATGTTACATCTTTATATGTAATAAACCCTGAAAGTTATTATTTTTATTTATGTAAAATAACTTAATAAGAGAGTAATTAATCTTTTCAGGGTTTTTTTTTTTTTACAATTGCCTATGTAATTGCCTATTTTATGTTTTCTCTCTCTGTGGTTTTGAGTTGCCATAATGTATGTCAATCTCAAAGACTGTGTTCTTCTTTCTTTCTTTCATATATGTACTTACTGGCGTTTACTGGGTACTTTACTACTAAGCTACATTTTCAGGGTTACATTTTTGTTTTTTGAGACAGAGTCCCATTAAGTTGCCTAGACCGGCCTCAAATTTGTGATCTTCCTGCACCAACCTCCCTCACTGCTGGGACTACGGCAAGTGCCCCTGTGTTAGACTTCCGGGTTTTTTATACTACAGATTTGTTTACCATGAAATTGCTATTCCCTGGAATGTGTACATTTTGCTCTCAGCTTGGAAGGATATGTTAATACATATAGAATTCTTGACTAACAGCGTTTTTGTTTGCTTATACATTTTCACTCTCTTTCAGGATTTTAAATGTCATCTCATTGTCTTCTGGCTTCCATAGTTTTTGATAAAAATACACCTACTAATGTTCTCCTATATAAGATTGTTCATGTTAAATTGAGGATTTTCATTTTATTCTTTTTATAATTCATCTATTTATATTTTATTTAATTAGTAACATCATACCTTAATTCTTTAAAGAATTAAACATGTGGTGCCCGGGATCAAACGTCCATTCCTGACCCTGCTAAGCTTGCCTAAGCAGGCTAAAGCGCTGTCCACTGAGCTACCTTGCCAGCCCACTCTTTAAATTCTTGTAATTCTTCTCAGTGTTTTGTCCCTCCCATTATTTAGCATGAAGCTGACCTGTTGGCCTTCTGAGGGCATGTGCTCTATTTCAAATCTAGTTGGCCATTTCCTACAGTAGAACTTCTGGGTTGGTTTGTTTGCATGTATTATTGAGGATTGACTGAAATTAAGACCTTCACATTGAGCTACAGTCCTCCTCCACTTTCTGAGACACAGTCTCACTCAGTTGTTAAGCTGTCAGGCTGGGTTCAAACTTGAGCTCCTCTTGCCTCAGTCTCCCAGAGTGCTATGGTCACAGGTATGAACCACCATGCCTCAGTGAACTGCCAGTTTTTAGGACTTTTCCTGCCCTTTTTGAACTCAAACTGAGTGTCTTACTCTTCTGTTTGCTGAGACAAATACCTGACACCCAAAGTTGAAGGAGGAAAGGTTAATTAGTGCTTTCAGTTCATAGTTGGCTGGCTCTAAGACAAGGTTGCTTGGCAAAGGGACATCACAGAACAGGCAAGCAGAAGGTAGCAGAGCAGAGAAGTAGCAAGTGGCGAGGAGGCAGCAGCAAAGGGGAAGGAGGCAGCAGCAAGTGGCAAGGAGGTAGCCGCAAGTAACCCTGTTTCTGTCTCATACTTTATCACTCAATCCTAGTATATTACCACCAGTCAATCCCAGCATCACGTCCTTTATCTCAACAGCACACACCCTGGATCCAGTCACCTCCAAAATGCCCCACCTCTGACAGCAGGAGGCTGTGTGGGGACATCTAGACATAAGCCACAACACTGAGTAAAAGAATTTTGCTCCAAGTTATTTTGTTCAACTGTTTAGTTATTAATAAACATTAAGAGGGTTTTTTTTGTAAAATTAGTAACTTTATAAAGATTTCCCTCCTTATCGCTGGTATTAGTTTCCTAGAACTTGACTTAACAAATTTCATAAACTTGGTGACTAGTAACACAAATGTATTCATCTTCAAGACCAGAAGTCTGAAATCATAACAGCAGTAGCAGTGGTTCCTTTGGAAACTCTGAGAAAGAATCTTTTCATACCTCTCTCCTAGCTTCTGAGGCCAAAATTTTTAGCATAAGAGCATCACTCCAATATTTGTGTTTATCATAACATAGTGTTATTTTTTGTTGTCTTGGAATCTGGATTTCCTTCCTCTGTTATAAAATAGGTCATGAATTTAGGGTCTACTCTAATCCAGTAAGTCCTCATATTATCTTCAAGGGCACTATCACTGAATAATGAATCAAGGTCACATTCTGGGGTTCTTGGAGACATAAATTTTGAAGGATCTCCTGGAAATAAATATGGTCTCTTTGTGGATTAGGTGATCTTTCGTACAGATTAGCTTGAATGAAATAGAGAGATAGTACTGCTAAGTTAACTTGTTTGTTGGGATAGTTCCTTAACATAACTCACACCTTCTTGTTGTTAATTTTATTTATACTGTTAAGAAAAAGATAGAGAGCTGTGGATAGGAAGGAGCTGGCAGAGCCTCACTCTTCTCAATTCTAATTTACTTGTCTGTTTTTAATCTAGAGCCAAATAACTATCGGACCATGCATGGCCGGGCAGTAAATGGCAGCCAGTTGGGAAAGGATTACATCCAGCTGAGAAGCTTGTTGCAACCCATCCGGATTTATTCCAGAGCCAGCTTATATGGCCCTAATATTGGGCGGCCCAGGAAGAACGTCATCGCTCTGCTAGATGGGTAGGTCGAATTACTTAGCTGTTCTTATTGACATTGTTCATTAAATGTAATGGACCAAGCTAATTGTTTTTTTCTTGGATATTTTCAGAATTAAAAATAAAGGAAAGCTTATTTGCATAATAGCTTGTCCCACTCTGAATTAGGAAATCTTCATTACACTGTGGCATTACTTCTTATGTCTTGAGGCCTTCCATAGTTGTAAAGGACTGTGTTACAATCTCTAGGAGGGATTGGAAGGAATACAGTATTTGAAAAACAAGATTTAATATTTGAACATTTCCCAAGACTCTGACAGGGAAAAACTGAAGACACACTAACATATTTGCCTCTCATGGAAAATATGTGCATAGCAAATAAAATGCCCAGGATATAAACTGACACCAGAGCTGTAAAGACTGCAAGGCATTTAAAAGGCTTCTTGAAAAGCATACATTCTCACAGGAAGATACCAATAATGGAATTGCCTGGTGACTCAGAAAAATAGGCACAGACATTCTCTAGCTTCATAAACTCCTGTTGATGAACTATAGAATTTCCTAAGTTCTAAAGCAGTATGCTGCACCAACTTATATGCCCTTGGCTATATGACTTTAGTGGAGAGATTTTATAAGTATCAAGAAATAGAAAAACAAACAGAAGCAAGATTTTTTGAAATCAATAAAACTTTAAATGTGAAAAAATATTACAGCATCTCATAGCATCACTGTACATTTAAAAAATGCAAATAATTACTCCAGTAAACCTTTTATAGAAACTAAAACTAGACACAATCTTGGCCAGAAAACTTGGATTTAAAAGTTAATAAACATGACATGTATCTGTCTATTAAGCCACAATTTAACTGAATGATTTATTATCAAATATTCTGGAAAACTGCCACCACTTTGTGACCAGTTCTGACTATCATTTTTAAAGCATTTTTATCACAGAAAGCTCTATTTTATGTTTTCTGCCTTATATCTGATGAAGGTCCAGTCTTAGACTAGATAGTTAGCACATCCATTCAGGTTAGGATGAGTTATACAGGGTCAGAAGAAATGCTTTAGCATGACTTTGCTGCCAGTAAAGCAGTAGAGGTACAGTTACCCTTTTTAATGGGGTGTGAAAAAAGCTGAAGATAAAATAATGTTAAATTCTAGTTCCAAAATGAAGATGTAGCTGCATTGGGAAGTGTAAGAATAATGAGGTTAGGGAACACAGAAGTTCTCCTGGAATAAAGTATCCTGTGCACCTAGACACACATTTTGTGTGTCATAGTCCAGAATAGAAATGATTGTTCTTACAAATGCAAAATGAATTAGATATTTTCAGTGAAGTACGTAGACCAAGTGAGGTTAGAAAAATGCCAAACGAGTATAAGCAGAGATGTACAAGGAAAGGGAAACATTTGTTTCCTGAATGGCCATTGTGGTTTGGTGACCCTAGTGACTCCTCCCTTTTCTAATTGTTGCTCATGATCTACACCTATGAATATAGCAGACATACGGAAGGTTTGAAAAGTCAGGCAGCTTTACATTGAAAGTAAACCGCAAATTTAATTTTAGGTCTGTCTATTTGTCTGTCTGACTATCTGTCTGTGTCTGTCTGTCTCTCTCTTCCTCCCTCCCTCCCTCTCTATCCTGTCCTGCCATGTTTTTTCCTCAACTCTTCCCTTTTCTCCTCTGTCTCAGTCGCATCTTTCCAATTCTAATGTTTTCTCATCTTCTGCACTGACTCCCCTGTGGGTCTACCCCTGTCTGGCTGCTTAGGCTATTTCTACCTACTTTACCTCTCCATAATATTACACCCTGTGAAGAGGTACCCTTAACTGCTGTGAGGAGGGCAATGACTGTTCTGTCTACTCATGGCTGAAGGGGGGTGATAAGTCAGATACTCTCCATGGGGTCTATCTAAAGGCACTTAATAGATGCTAGGTGTTCTAATCTTGATTAGGCATGTAGCTTTAAGTTTGAAGGAGACAGGAACAATGAAGCAGTTAAGTATGCTCAGGCAAAATAAGATCAAAAAGACTATTATGAATACAACCAACAAATGTTTTTACCAGGAAGAGCCAGTAATAGTCTCCCACAAAGATGGTAAAGAGAATGTCTAGGAAATTTTAGAATCTGACCTGACTGTAACCTGCTGTTTAATATCTTAAACTATCTTTAAGATATTAGCAGAAGAATCAGTAATGTACACACAGCAGTCAGCTTTTATAATACATAAGTACTCCCTTGTGGGTTTTTGTTTTGTTTTGTTTTGTTTTGTTGATTCTATAAGGAAAGGTCTCAACCAAGTTTGTGAAATTGTTTACCCAGACCAATAGCCATTGGAATCCTTTACTCTTCGGCATATGAGTGAAATCTAGCTGCCACTCTTCCCCAGGATATTTACTGTCTCTTATAGCTAGAGGGACTATGGTCCAGTTAAGAGGATTGTTCTATTGGTAGAGCTCACATGTCTTAACTGTCTGTTGCTTGTCTTAGAATGTCCTTTTCCTAATAATATCTCTGAGGTCATTTGATGGGTCTTATCTTTTTCCAAATGAAAGGTTTTATGTAAATATTTAATATTTTTCCACTGACTAGTGCCAGGAAGGAATAATTTGCCATCATATAGATTGAAACAGTGTCTTGTTGGTGGGCCCAGTGCTGGGATATTCAGAAGTGATTCCTTAAACTTCTAAAATGCAGTTTTGGAATCAGGTTTCTAGGTTAAAATATAGTTATCTATCCTTTAGAGCTTCCTTTATATGAAGACAGAGGGGTCATGTGACCTCACTTATACTCTGCTATTCAAAGAGGACAAAACCTGTATCTCCTAGGAATCCCTTTAGCTATTAGGATCTTGGGCTATGAGAAGGAATGTATTGGTTTAATTTTCACTTCTCTCAGATTTCAGGTTCCCTTAGGTATGATAAGGCCCAAGTATTTTACCTGAAGTCTACAAAGATGTACCTTACACTTAGAGGCTCTATAACCTTTGCTAGAAAATTCAGCACAGTGTGGATGCCTTGGATACAGAGCTCTTCTCAGTGGACCTGTAACAGTGTATCATCTATGTATTTCAGAACTCTGACTGAGGAAAATTCAAAACATACCAAGTCATGGGAAAGCATGACCCTAAAAGATGAGGACTGTCTCTGAATTCTTGAGGAAGCATAGTCCAAGTCAGTTGAGAGGTCTGATCAAGAGGATCTTCCAAGGGGAGTGGGGGGAAGACCAATAGACTAGACATCTGCATCTAACAAAATACTAAAGCAGGCCTTTTTTATATCTAGCACTGAAAATCAACTGGCATCTTCCAGGATCTGAGAAAGGAGAGTGTAAGGGTTAGGTACCACTGGATGGATTGCCACTATTGCCTCATTTACCAATCTAAGGTCCTGTAGCAGCCTCCAATCTGCACTGGAGTTTTGAACTCCCAAAATGGGAATTTTGCAAAAGCTATTACATGGTGTAAGTAAACCTCATGCCCTAAAATTGCTGATTATAAGAAACAGCCTTCTTTTGACTTCAGGCCTTAGAGAATATTGTCTTTTAAGGAATAATAGTAGGTTCTTTGAGATGAATTGACACTGGGATACATCTTCTTGCTCTTCCTGTTTTACCTTTATTTGCTTTTACTTCAGAATTTATTTCTGTCTCCATCAGAGAGGGGCAGTGTACCTGACTTGGGTGCATATATATTATAGTATTCAATCAAGATATTTCTCCACAGAAGAGAGAACTGGACTTCCGGGCATAATCAAAGAGAAATGAAAGAAGAAAAATACATCCAAGTTGTAGCCTAAGAGTTGTGAGAAATAGCAAGTTACCTCCTGTCCAGTGAATCCTTTCACTGAAATAAGATAGCTGGAAGGAAGGCCAGGGTTAAAAAGAACCAGGGGCTATGCATTAGTGTCCAGCAATAGGCTCATTTCTTTTCTCTCTACAGCCATGACTACCAAGGGTTCCTCCATGGAGATAATGTCCTGCTGAGGGGAGAAGGCAGAGAGTGCCTGGGGATGTGTTAGTCTTGCTGAAGGGTCTTATTCCTGAGGCTCTAAGATGGGCCTGACCCTTGGGACTTCCACCTCAGAGGGCAGTTCAACTTCTAGTGGTCACCTTTACAATTAGAGCATGGCTCAGGGGACCTCATTTATGATAGATTTATCACAATCTAAGGAGGCTAGGAGTTCTACTTTAGTAATAGGTAAGTTTAGTCATTGAATCCTTTCAGTCCTAAGAATAAGATGCAGAGTCTATTCCTTTTAAAACTATAGCAAAGACAGCCGCTTTCTCTTGGAATTTGTTTTCTCTCCTTGGCCTCCTCCTGGTCTCAATTATAAAATACTGAGGCTATTCTCACTAAAGTATGGACTGGGCTATGTGGAGCAAAAGTCATATTTTGTAGCTTTTTTCCTAATATCTGAAGCTAACTTGTCTTTAAGAAATTTCTATTCTTTATTTTTCTGCCGAGTTCCGGGAGCCCCCAGACCCAGTCCTAGCCCAGGTCCGGTGAGTGTGCGGAGAGCTTCCTGCTACCCTGCACCGGCAGGACCAGTCCCAGCCCAGGCGCAGTGTGGGCCGGACCCTCTCCCAGCCCATTAGGCCACCC